TCGAACAGGCGGAGGCGGCCTGCGCCATTTTGGCCGTCGAAATCGCAGCCTCTGGCGCGACGCCCCTGGGAGACGGCGTCGGTGCCTCCCCTAGCGCGACATACGAGGTCGACGACCTCGTCTGTTTCCTGTGCTTGAGCAAGAACAAAGAAGCTGTTCCTCGCAGGGTGTTCCCGCCGCCTGCGCCCCCAGTGACCATCGCGCAAGATTTGGGGCTGGTTGCTCCAGTCGCAGCCCCTGGCGCGAGAGTGCCCTCAGGCGAGACTCTTTGTCATGCGAGGGTCAGAAGTAAAACCGCAGCAAAGCCAGCCATCGTCTCCATCGCCGCGTGTGTGCTCCAGGACATCCTGCGCTGGGTGAGTGCTCCCGCCGCAGGCGCAATGAGTAACTGTTGTCGCGCATGGCACGCAGGAGGTCTATTCCTAGCCTGCGCGGTGTCTGAGAGGAGGCGGGGCGTCGCAGACTCTGTCGCGAGCATCTTGTCTTTCGATGCTAAACCCGCCCGGGCGCTGCTTGATGCAGGGGCCACCAAACCTGATGTGCTCCGCGCCTGGGCCTCCGCGTGGGAATTGCTCGATGGGCTCCCCCCGCGTGCTTGTTTGAGCTTCGACGGGCGATTGTTGTCCATGGCTCTAGCTCGCATGGGCGTCAAGGAACACTTTCGGGGCGACGCGAAGGACGCGGCTGCCCGGATGTTTCTGGATGCAGGCGGGGAATATTCGCTTGCGAAGGGCCCTTCACTTGCGGCGGTGGAAAAAAAAACGCTTGCAGCGATAGAGCGCCATGTGCTGATGATGATGGCGCCCAACGATTCTGGCCTCTGGCGATGATTCGCAGCCTCTGGCGCGAACCAGCGTGGGGGGCGGCCGCTGGGGCGGCTGCTGGGGGCGACCAGCATTCGGGGCGTCTGGTCGCAATAGTGCGGGCTCGGGGGATCGGCAGCGCTCGATAGTAGAGGCACCTGTGAGAGCGGGGCGTCCCGCTGCGCCTGCGCGCGGACGTCGGCGAACGCGGCGCGTGCTTGAACCATGCCAGAGAAAACTACACCTCCTCCTCCTCCTCCTCCTCCTCCTCTTCCTCCTCCTCCTCTCCTCCCTCCCCTCCCCTCTCCTCCCCTCCCCTCCCTCCTTCCTGCCAAGAAGTGCTGCAACACGTCGTGACGGCAGGCGGTCTTCGGTGGATCCCAGGAGGGAGGATGGAGGAGGAAGAGGAGGAGGCGGAGGAGGAGGGGGAGGAGGAGGAGGGGGAGGGGGAGGAGGAGGAGGAGGAGGAGGGGGAGGCCCCCTGGAGGGCTCCGGGACGCTTCCGCCGGGAACCCCAGAGGTTTCCGGTGATTTGCCAGAGACCAAAGGCCTTGGGAGACCTCTGGGGGCCTGGGTCGCCAGCAGGGGCGCGGAGGATGGCCGCGCTCAGCGCTTCGCGGCCCGGGCCTGGGGGTGTGCTCTTCTCCATGCCAGTGTTGACGTTGCTACTATTGCAACTGATGGCAACACCGCTGTCAATTCCACCGCTACTGCAATTGCAGGTGCTACCACTACTACGGCGACGAAAACGGCGATGACGACGTCGACGGCGGCGGCGAGGGCGACGACGACAGGGGCGAAAACGACGACGACGACGGCGGCGGCGGCGGTGCGAGGACGACGGCGACGGCGACGCCGACGACAACGACGACGGCGGCGGCGACAGCGGCGACGGCGACGGCGGCGACGGCGGCGGCGGGGGCGACGGCGACGACGACGACGGTGGCGGCGGCGGCTGCGGCAGTGGTTGCGGCGGCTTCGACGACGGCGACGACGACGACGACGACGACGACGACGACGACGACGACGGCGGCGGCGGCGGCGGCGGCGGCGACGCTTATTGTAATGATTTTGGCTTGGTGGACCGGTTAGGAGGAGGAGGAGGCGGAATGATCTTGAGGGGAACAACGAACAGGATGCCGACGTGCTTGTGAAGAGAGAGAGAGAGAGAGGAGGGCGAGGAGGAAGGACTGAGCGAGAGAACGAGAGATACATACATATATACATATATATACATGTATAGATAGACATACGGTCATATCCATATATATATATATATATATATATACACATGTATGCGCATGCGCATACACGTAATCGAAATCTGCACGCTCTAACCCCAGTATCTCCAACGCAGACCACAGTGGCAGCGAACCCCAGGCTGGTTCCCCCCACCCCCCACTCTCGCCCGAACCCCGCTGACTTTCTCGTCTGCCCCCGGCCGTCGCGCCGCGTCTAGCCTGCGGGCAGCAGCCACCCGACGTCTCTTCTCTAAGCGGTCCATGCCCATGGTAAGTTCCTCCTCCTCCTCCTCCTCCTCCTCCTCCTCCTCCTCCTCCTCCTCCTCCTCCTCCTCCTCCTCCCCCCTCCTCTTCCTTCCCTCCTCCTTCTCCGCGCAGTTACCCACAGCAGACCGAACGCCATGGCTCTTATCGTACGTTACTGGGCCAAGCATGTTGGCTCCTGGGAGGTAGTGGGGGTTTCTTGCAGCATCTTGTGAACGTCTCAGGGCCAAACTGGAACCTCTTGCGTTCCTCCAAAGGACCTCTTGAGCTGGCCTCAGGGGTCCTAGCCTTGCGGGGTGCACAAGGGCGTGGCGAAGGCCGACCCCGCTTGGGTCGCCTTGGGGCTCTCCTGGGCCCTCTTGGGTCTGTGTTGGGAGCGTGTTGGACTCGTGGGCCGCCTCGGGGTCATCTTCAGGCCAGAAATGGAGCCTCTCGGGGCTGGAGAAGGAGGAGGAGGAGGAGGAGGAGGAGGAGGAGGAGGAGGAGGAGGGAGGAGGAGGAGGAGGAGAAGGAGGAGGAGGAGGAGGAGGAGGGGGTGGGGGAGGGAGAGAGGAGGGAGAGGAGGAGGAGGAGGAGGAGAGGAGGAGAGGAGGAGGAGGAGGAGGAGGAGGAGGAGGAGGAGGAGGAGGAGGAGGAGGAGGAGGAGGAGGAGGAGGAGGAGGAGGGGGCACTTGAGGCCGCTTAGGGGGTTCTGGGTGCTGCCAGAGTCTGGCCACGGAACGAACCCTCGAGGGGCATCTTGGGGACATCCTGGAGCTCGCCTGAGCTGTCTTCGGCTATCATGCGCTCAGGGGGAGCTACTGGGGGCTTCATGTGGCATCTTGGAGCAATCATGTGGCGCACTCGAATCCTTCTGGGGTCCCTGTGGGCCATCTGGGAGGGGCTGAGGGCCCCAGTCAGGGGCCGAGACCAGGGTGCAACTAAGGCCGAAACTCCCGTGAGCCGTCTTGCGGCTCTCCTGTGGCCCTCGTGGGGCCGCCTCTTGGAGCATTGGACGCCTGGGGACCCTCCCTAGACTATCTCGTCTCGAGTCGATTCCATCATGAAACCCTGAAGGAGGAGGGGAGGAATGATAGGGGCATGAGGACACTAGGGGGAGAGAAAGAGAGAGTGCGAGAGGAGAGAAAGAGAGAGAGAGAGAGGGAGAGAGAGAGAGAAAGAGAGAGAGAGAAAGAGAAAAAGAGAGAGAGAGAGAAAGAGAGAGAGAGAGAGAGAAAGTGCGGGAGAGATAGAGTGGGGAGAGAAGGGAAGGTAATTGATTTGAGGTGTCCGAGGCCAGTCTTGGAACCTCTTGAAGCGTCTCTCCAGGTATTGGGGCCGTCCTAGAACGATCTTGGAGTGTCTTGGGCCATCCTGGACCGTCTTGGCGGTCTCTGGCCAGCATCCTGAGCCGTCCTGGAACCCCTTCAAATTGAAATAACACCCAAAGCCTCCGAAACTGCCCCCGGACCCCCAAGGCCAAAGTGTTGTGCGCCATTGCGCAAAAGCGGACAGCACAAGTCTCTTCGACGAGCGCGGTTTCGAGATCGTTACGCCGACACTCAAAGAGCGTGCCAAACACTGGTCGGCGCGCCAGTTTCGTGCCAAGCTGAACTTGCAATATTGCCAGGGTCTCACGAAGGAGTCACCTCCTTCTACTGCTGCACTTCTCTGATCGGTTGATCAAGGGTGTGCACGCAGGGAAGAGCTAGAAGAAAGAACTGCCTAAACATAAACTTTCGACGGTCCACGCGAATTTCTTGGATCTGCGCTGGACCCCCCTTCCTGGCGCACGGAGCGCGCCAGGGGCGGCGCCGGAGGCGCCGCCAGGGGTGCCCAGCACCGATCCAAGAGAAATCCGCGCAAAGCTCCGAAAGTTGAGATGTTTATGTCGTCATTTCTTCTTCGAGGAACAAAACAAAGTATTACCCCGAGGGCGCGGTGAGAGAGCGCAAAAGAAGGGCGGAATTTCGGGTGCGCCGAGGAGGCGGGCCAGGAAGAGGGGGTGTCAGCGCATCATGGCCCGAGGCATGTGCCCTGAGGAGGGGGCGCCAAGGGGCGCGTGTTCAATGAAGCGACAATCAAAACATACCACGACAGCGGGAAGACTTTCATAGCCCGGCCATCATATCCCCCCTGTTCCTCACCCCCTTCTTCGACGCCCCCAGAAATTGCGGGGGTGCGGGGGGGGTGCAGGGGGGGAGCTTAGGAACAATGGGCCTCTCCTGGGCCCAGGGACGCGGTTGCCGGCTATATATTATATAGACGGTGGTGAATTGTCGGTGGCGGAGTGATACGGCGGCGGAGAATTGCAATGGACTTTTGCGGCGCGGGCTCATAAGTACCAATCGTTGTCTTGCTCATGTGCAGGGTGGTATGCAAAACGCAGCAACGCTTCTCTCCCGCCTGGTTCATCGGATATGGACGACCCCCTACTCTGCCACGAATGAACACAAATCTATACAAGAGTACCGCACACAATCACACACAAACGCATTGAAGTATCGCGTGTGTCGTATACCTGCTGTACACCATATCAAGGAGGCGAATGCAATGACATGGAGCCTTCCGACCGAAGAATTGTGTCCTGGATCGATCCGATCCGCGCCCCAGCTGAACTGCTTCGCCTCATGCCTCTTCCTCACTGTCTTTCTAATGCTGCTCCTCCCCCCCCTCCTCCCCTCCTCATCGCCCTCGTCCCTCGCCCCGCCCCCCCCCACCGAAGAACATCTGAAGAGCAAGACGAGGAAATTCACAACACGGTGCGTGCATACAGCGATTCATATTGGATGTCATTTGGATATCTCGAAGACTGTGTATCTGATCAGACTTGAAATTCAATGGCTAGACAATTCGCTGGCAGCAGCATGATGAGCACGCAAAGTGCTCAACACTGCTAAATTTCACAAAGAGGGACTGCGACCCAACCACAGTTCGGGAGCGAAAACTTGCGCACAATACCGCCAACTGGCCACGTCGCATCAGGACCCCACGAGTCGCGCACCTGCTCTCTGTCAAGGCCTTCCGTCCAAGGCTCGCGATTCATGATATTGTTGATTGTGCCCCAATGGCTGACTGTGGCGATTCTCGTCTCAGATCTCTCTGCAATCCACGTCTGGAAATCGACCAAGCGCTGGGGGTCGGACACGTGGGCTTGCCAAGCTCCGTTGGAACCCCGAGCCCACTGCTCGTCCCAGTCAGCCCGCCAATCCGCAGCTTCGTCGTCGGCCAATGCGGCCATGACTTGGCGGTAGCATGGCAAACCTGTCAGGTCAGGACTCTTCCGCAACTCTTCTACCGGCCTTCCGCTGTTCTCGTGCACATCCGGGTGAACTTCGCGGAGCTCTGGACGAATGACAAGTTGCATCGTTCCCGCGAGGAGATGTTCTTCAAACATGATGGCCGCAGTCTGTATTGCGCGTGTCAAGGACGAGGAAACGACCAGTTCAGGCTTCACCTGCCATTCGGCTAAACGTTGCTGAGCATCTAGCGCTTGCTTCTTGCCTTCTTCTGTCAGCGGAGCGTCTGCCAACGTTTCGTTGGCTCGATACTCCTCATCATGGACAAGCAATCCAGTTCCTTTGTCGGCCGCGCGCGCGGCTGCTTTGGCCTCATTGCCAGTGCTGTGACCATGCCGGAAATGCCAAACTACCTTTGCATTCGCAGGCATCTGCTCAGCTACAACATCGCCAGAATTACAGCATCTGGCTTCTATCGGCGGAAGCGCGACAACACCCATGCGCGGCGCTGAAGCATTGCAGCTAGCTATGGCACGTCGCGCAGGCTGGAATTTCCTCCTCGTCCTTCCAGTGTTGACCAATGCAAGAGCGAATGCGGCGGTACCCAATGTAAAGCGAGCATTATGCAGATCATTGGCCTTCAACGCGCTCGGCTGAATCAAGAAACCTTGAGGCACGCTCCGAGCGAGTCCACGCGCAGGAGAGCGTAGGTTCTGGGTGCCACTGTTCGGCAGAGCGCACTTGACACCAGCAGCACCGAAAAGAACAGCCGAAGGGCAACCTGGTAACGCCATACGGGCGTTGACAGACTCAAACCTACGCTGCCGAAGCTTGAACAAACATTGCTACGGGCATTTCTCGAAGGAGCCGTGCGGCCTCATGTGGAGCCCGTTGGAAGTCCTGGGGCCTTCTGGTCGGTCCGAATCGTTGACGGGGTCTTGGGCCGTCAGGAGGGTCTCGACGCTGTGCCTCGGGAACGATTAGATTCAATACAGCCGGAACTATGATCAAGAAGACTATACATCAAGAAATCTGGACAAGCTGCACAAAACATTCCTCAAGACAAGCCCGGCCCGATTTCAATCGTTGACGCTGGAAGGGCGAACGTGCTCGAGAAACGGGGCCAGCTTTTTCTGGCAAGCTGGCCAAGAAACGCTGGCCCAGCTTTTCGGGCGGAGGTTTCTTGATGAGATGCTCGACTGTATTGTGCCATTGGGTTAAGCTTGGGTCAATCTTGTCGGTCCACTGGTCCGTGCAAGGGCCTTCTTGTGATCCCTCGGGGGGCCTCCTGAAACATTGGGGCTCCGTTCAGGACGGCCGGAAAACCGCTGGGAGGCGAATTGGGAACCAGTGTGAGCCGTCAAGGGTGGCATCATGACAATGAGCCGGCGTGTGAACTACAAGGAGCCTCAGCAAGAACTTCAGCTTTTAAGCAAGAGCTTCAGCTCTGCTTGCCCCGACTCCGGATCCGCCCTACTTTGGGGAAATTCGTAAGTAGGGCTTGGAATTTCCGCCTTACTTTTCAAGTCCCGCTGATGCCGATTTCCGCCCTACTTTCCTGTTGCTGCTTCCGCCCTACTTCTGTGGATTTCCGCTCTACTTTGTGCTGGGTGCAGAAATTTCCGCCCTACTTTTTCGGCTTCTCATCAGTGGATCTCCGACGCAATTTTGAGTTGGGAAAAAGGCCAAAGTAGGGCGGATCTGGAGTCAGGGTGGGGGGGGTCGCCGGGGTGGCTCTGCCGGGGAAGGGGGGGGGCCCCCCATCTGGCGTTTTCTCTTCATGATTTGCGCATCCGGACCCCCCCTGGGGAAAGGGGGGCGGGACCGGTCCCCCACCTGGCGTCTTCTTACTGATCTGAGCATCCCCAAAATGCTTCGGGGGGTCCCAGGGACCCCCCTCAAAACTAGCCGCTGCCGCCCCCAGGGCCCTCCCCTCGGAACCCTCCCCGGACCCCCCCCCCCCAGGGACCGCTCCAGGCACCCCCCCAGAAGAGAAGAAAGAGAACCTGAAGAATCGAGGAGGGAGGAAGACACAGAGCCGCGAAGATCACCGAATCCGGAGCCCCCCAAATCGGCGGCACTGGCTGGAGGCCATTACAATCAGTGTGAGCCGTCAAGGGTGGCATCATGACAATGAAACAAACAAGCAACAAACACGTTGTCAAATCCGGGGGCGTCTTGGAGGTATCTTGGAGCCCTGATGAGCCATCTTCGCGCCGTGTTGGGCCCTCTTGCAGCCATCTTGAGCGCTCTTCAGGCCGTCCTGGGCCATCTTGGGGCCCTTTGGTCCCTGGTCCTCCCCTGGCCCCCCCGTGGGGGAAAGGTGGCTACGAGTGTGGATGCCATGACAATGGAAACTCTAGCAGTCCTATCATTGAATTAACAATGTGTTTAAAGTGTGTAAAACATGTTCGAACAATGTTTCAAACATGTTTTTCTACATACCTAGAACATGCTTGAAACATGCATTAGACATCTGGAAATCATTTGGCAACATGCTTCCTCTCCATTAGTCGTCCTCCACAAGGCTACGATTGGGGACCCTCCCCTGGCCTCTGGGTGGAGAAACAGCCGTGCATTTTGCACTGGAAGCATCACGCGCGCTCCACGTGCGCACGGGACCCGCGGGGTCCAGCACCAGCGCGTCTGTTGCCAAAGGCGCGGGCAGGGACTGGGGCCAGAGCGAGGGGTGCGCAAGCAAATCCATGTACACACGCGTATAGGTATAGACATGTTTCCCCGCACCGTTGCCCTCCCACCCCGCCCCCGGCCCCGCCCCTAGCCAAGGGTAGGGAACGAGGAGGAGGGAATGGGTTTGGAGGCGATGCAAGGGGGAGGGCGGGGAGGACGGAGCAGGGAGGAGGGATGATGGACGAGGGGGAGGGAGGAAGAGGCATGAGGAGAATGAGGATGAGGATGGCGACGACGAGGCAGGAGTGATATGGGTGGGCAAGTGAGCGGCCTCTTCTCCACTCCCTACTAATCCTCTTACGGGGAGTTCAAACAACCTATTTGCTGGGGGATTGTGCTGGGGGGTTGTGCTGGGAGGTTGTACTGGGGGGTTGTCCTGGGAGGTTGTGCTGGGGGGTTGTGCTGGAGGGTTGTGCTGGGGGGTTGTGCAGGCGGGGTCCTGCCTGGGGGTTGCGCTCGGGGGTTGTGCTGGGGGTTTGTGCGGCGGGTTTGTGCTGGGGCGGGTTGCTGGGGGGTTGTGCTGGGGGGTTGTGCTGGGGGCTGTTCTGAGGGGTCGTGCTGGGGGGCGTTGTGCCGGGTGTATATGCTCCTCCTCGTCCTCCTCCCCTCTTTACTCTTCGCCCTCAGCAGGGCGTTGGGGCCAGCGGCTCGGGTGGAGGCGGGCGGAGACGTGCCTTGTGCCAACTCCTAGTCGGAGGTGGCACTTCTGCGCCACCCTGTCCCGCCCCAGAGCTGAGAACGGCACCTGCCCACTCCATCATTCCATCGTTGCGCGCCTCCCTCCTCCCTTCTCTATCCCACTTCCCCTCCTCCTCCTCCTCCTCCTCCTCCTCCTCCTCCTCCTCCTCCTCCTCCTCCTCCTCCTCCTCCTCCCTCTTCACTCCTCCCTCCTCGCTCCTCCCACAGTCCTCCCTCCTCCCACTTCCACCGGAGATCCGACGTAGCGGGCAAACATGCACGTAACATCGTAAAACATCACGCCAGGAGCCCCAGACGCCATCTTTTTGCGTTCATTTTCGAGCTGGAGCGATCTGTGACGATCCTGGGGGGCGGAAGCGCTCGGCTCGAAATGATTGAGACGCCAAGATCTCAGGGTCCCTCCCCTCCTCCCCTGCTCCCTCCCCAGACCCCCGACGTCGCGTTCCTTATGTAACGCCGATCCCCCAGAGGTCTGGACACCTTTCCTGGGACCAATTTTTCTGCCCTGAGTCGTTGTTTGACGGCCCCCGGGGCCTGGGAAGGGCCCCCCGAAGCCGAGCGTAGGGAAAAACCTCCCGCCCCAGTTTTTTCTCGCAGCGCGAGGGGGGGTCTGGGCGCCCTCCTTCCCGCGAGCCCTTTTCTGCCCCTCCCCGCGCTCGCCCCAGGGAGGCCCTCTGCGCGCCTCCCTCCTCCCTCCTCTATCCCACTTCCCTCCTCCTCCTCCTCCTCCTCTTCCTCCTCCTCCTCCTCCTCCTCCTCCTCCTCCCTCCTCGCTCCTCTCTCCTCCCTCCTCGCTCCTCTCTCCTCCCTCCTCCCTCCTCCTCTCCTCCTCCTCTCCCCTTCCCCCTTTCCTCCTCCTCCCCTTCCTCCTCCTCCTTCCTCCCCTCCTCCCTCCTCGCTCCTCTCTCCTCCCTCTCCTCCCTCCTCACTCCTCCCCTCCTCCTCCTCCTCTCCTCCTCCTCCTCTCCATCCTCATCCCCTTCCTCCTCCTCCTCCTTCCTCCTCCTCCTCCCCCTTCCTCCTCCTCCTTCCTCCTCCTCCTCCTCCCCGCGAGCCCTTTCCTGCCCCTCCCCGCGCTCGCCCCAAAGAGGCCCTCTGCGGCCCGCTCGGGCGGCAGCCCCGCCGGAGCCGCCGGGCCCGGCGCGGTAGGTCAGGAAGAAGTTCACGAAGAGGTCGACCCAGAAAAACCTGGGAGGAGGAGGAGGAGGAGGAGGAGGAGGAGGAGGAGGAGGAAGGGGAGGGGAGGAGGAGGAGGAAGGAGGAGGAGGAGGAGGAGGAGGAGGAGGAAGGAGGAGGAGGAGGAGGGGAGGAGGAGGAGGAGGAAGGGGGAGGAGGAGGAGGAGGAGAGAGGAGGGAGGAGGAGGAGGAGGAGGAGGAGGAGGAGGAGGAGGAGGAAGGGGGAGGGGGCGAGGAGGGCTGCGCCCGCAGGAGGCGGCTCGAGGCTCGAGGCGTTCCCACCGATGATCGTCGGTGCCTGGCGGCTCGCCAGCCTCGCTGTGCTCTCGAGCGGCTGCGTCGCGCTGAGAGGGGGCTTCTGGGGCTGCCTGGGTTGTCCCGCACGGCCGCCGGGTAGCCGAGTCATGGCCCGAACGTCGCGGACGGCGACGTGACAAAGAAGAAGACAAAGAAGAAGAAGAAGAATAAGACAAATAATAAGAAGAAGAAGCCACAACATAAGAAGAAGAAGGCGAATAAGCATAATAATAATAATAAGAAGAAGAAGCATAATGTAAATAATACTAAGAATAATAATCATAACAATAAACATAATAAGTAACATAACAAGAAAAAGAAGACGAAGAAGAAGAAGAAGAAAAAGAAGACGAAAACAGACCCGTTGGGGGCAGCGTTCGGCCCCGGGAGGGGGGGGCCCTCGTCCGGCCCGAGGGGCCGCCCCAAAAAACCGGCTCGGGGGGACGAACAGGCCGGCTCGGGGGAGAGGGGTCGGAACTTCCGGGGGGCCGCGCCTCCTCCCTCCTCCCTCCTCCCTCCCTCCCTCCCTCCCTCCCTCCCTCCCTCCCTCCCTCCCTCCCTCCCTCCTCTCTGGGTCGCTCCACGACAGCCTCCCCCTGCTTCCCCTGCTCCTCGAGAGGCTCAGGGCATCGCACGTGCGGGTCGACCCAGAAGGCCCGGCAGGAGCCAGAGGAGGAGGAGGAGGAGGAGGAGGAGGAGGAGGAGGAGGAGGAGGAGGTTCACTGCCCCAAGAGGGAAATAAGTCGAGAGAGAGAGAGAGGGGGGGGGAGGAGAGAGGTGGCCTGAGGTGTGGGGCTGCCTGTCCGAAGGGAACTCTTTCTGCTCGCCGCCTGAGGCTCCTTCCCCCAGGCAGGGCCCGCCGGGAGAAGAGGACGAAGAGGACGATCAGGACGGAGAAGGGGGGACGCAGGAGGGAGGATGTGAGAGCGGCGAGAGGAGGAGGAGAAGGAGGAGGAGGAGCGGAAGAGGAGGAGGAATTTAGGATGAGGAGGAACAAGACAAGACAAGACAAGACAAGACAAGACAAGACAAGACAAGACAAGGCAAGGCAAGGCAAGGCAAGGCAAGGCAAGGCAAGACACGACAAGACAAGAAAATACAAGACAAGACAAGGCAAGACAAGACAAGACAACCCAAGACAATCACCATAAGCACCATCCGATGTCTCGAGAGTGTAGCTCAGCTGCACTACACACTCCAGCAAATCAAAGCTGCCACTAGGCTGGACTACGCGCTGAAAACCGAGTGAATTTGGAGCGGTGGGCCTGGTCGAGCCAAGTGCATGCCCGAAATAGCTGGTGCCTCGAGGCGGCAGGACGGTACCCAACGGAGTCATGCCGATTCCAAGGGCACGCCCCCACAGGGGGAGGACCGAGAGGGGCATGCCTGGACTCGAACCAGGACGCACTCGAGACCCTCAGCACTCAGCAGCAAGGCGAAGGACACGGAGCAAGGGCCCGCATGGGGCCCACGAGGGGGGGAGGGGGCCCACAGGGGCCCATGAGGGACGGAACAAGACAGCCTCGTTGTTCAGGGATGCAGATCCGCCGATACCAGAGGGGGGAATTGGCAACACTACCCACGCTCTGGCGATGATGTTTTTTGCTCGGCCAAGACTCTGCAACCTTGGCTGTACCCTTGCTTGCTCAGCGAGTTCGAGCAAATCACTATTATACAGAGATGCCTTGCCGACCGTCGACGCTTTGGCACTGATGCCGAGAGGACAATGCAAGACAATGCATCCACCAACCAGAGGGATGAAACAAGACCACGACCGATTAGCAACACCGGCCTATTAGCAACGAAACGTGCTGCACCTAGCGCTTCCTCGACGTTCCTGGCAGACAGACTCGGCAGAACTGCGTCTGCGAAGACACAGCTCGTGAACAGAGACATGCACTGCTACTACTGGTACCCATTTAACCAACAAATCCGCCGAATCCGCTTGCATGGGGTGAAGCGGCGGGTGGGACATGTGGTTGTCCCCCTTCCTGTCCCCCCCTCCCCCAACGTTTGGGGGGGACGTGTGGCTGTCCCCCTTCCTGCCCCCCCCTCCCCCAACGTTTGGGGGGGGACATGTGGCTGTCCCCCTTCCTGTCCCCCCCTCCCCCAACGTTTGGGGGGGGGGGGGGGGGCTGTCCCGGGCTCCCCGACGCACCGCACCCCCGGGGCCTCAGGAGCCTAGACGTCCGCCCTCCGTGGCCGCCGAGATCCCAAGATGCTTTCTAAGATGGCCCCAGAAGAGCTCCAATACGACGGAGAAGCCTCACAAGCACCCAATTCGGCGGTGGACAAACCTCCCTTTAGTAAACCTCCCCTTAGTGAAAACGGCCCGGGACCGAAACCGACGGACCTGGACCCGCAAAAACGACGGCCGCGACGCCCTCTCGCGAACCGAAAACGGCCAATTCACTAATCGACGTGTCAGGGTAGGAGGTCTGTCCACCCCCGATATGGTCTCAAGACGGCCGAAGGCGCCGAAAGAAAACCCCCAAGACGGCCCCCCCCCAGAGGGCCTCAAGAGGCAAGCAACATCGATGTGCCGTTCGTTTCTGCCAGATATTTGCGTTCTCGGCTCTCTGGCCTCTGCACGCTCAAGACGGCCCAAGCCCAAGAACCCCCCCAAACTGGCCCGAGCCCGCCAAACGAGACCCGCAAAACGGCCCAGAAACGGCCAAAGAGGGCCCCAAGACGGCCCAGGAGGCCCCGAACATGGCAACACAAACTTGGATGTGGCCCCAAGAATTACTCCGACGGAAGGACCCCGCATGAGAATCCTCTGGGTGAATCTGGAAAAAGCCCTCACCGTCGTCCTCGTGGTTGGTGAGGTGTCCTGGCTGTCCCCCTAAGGCAAAGCCCAGACAGGGAACCCACCCTTGAGCCTCGACAGAAAAGCTCGAAGCAGAGGCCGCCTCCTGGGCCGCCCGCAGGCCCCGAAGATGCCCCCCACGAGTTCCGGGAGGCCTCCAAAACATCGTCCCCAGACCCCCCAGGCCCTCCAAGATAGCCTGGAAGAGACCCCCCCCGAAATGAGACCCCCCTCCCTTTATTACGAAATCTGGAGAACCCACCCTTGAGCCTCGACGGAAAAGCTCGAAGCAGAGGCTGCCTCCTGGGCCGCCCGCAGGCCCCGAAGGTGCCCCCCACGAGTTCCGGGAGGCCTCAAGAGAGGAGGAGGAGGAGGAGGAGGAGGAGGAGGAGGAGGAGGAGGAGGAGGAGGAGGAGGACGAGGAGGCCTCGAGGAGGAGGATGGAGGAGGAGGTAAGGGAGGAGGAGGAGGAGGAGGAGGAGAAAGCCCAAGGCATCCCCTCCCCCCCCCCCCGCAGAGGCTCCCGACGGTCCCCCAAGACGACGTCCCCAGCTGCACAAGGGGGGGCCTCGAACGGAGCCCGGACAACATGACAAACCGTCTCGTCGTCGTCGATGCCCTCCTCCTCCTCCTCCTCCTCCCCCTCCTCCTCGATGTCCTCCTGCCTCCTCCTCCTCCTCCTCTCCTCCTCTCCTCCTCCTCCTCCTCCTCCTCCTCCTCCTCCTCCTCCTCCCCGTTGTCCGCCTCACTCCTACCGTCGACGTTATCTGTGCCGTCCTTCCCCTCCGGCTCCCTCGTTCTCCGAACCCCAGGATGAGACGGTTGTATCGACCATCCGCGACGCCACTCTGGGAGCATGTCGTTCCACGCGCGACGCGCAGCATACTTCAGTGCCCCCTCCCGACAAGCGCAGGACAAGTGAGCCCCGTGCGCAGAGCAGCGACTGCGCGGCGGCCACTCGCCCCACGCACCCGGACATTTGAAGGCATCCCGTGCGCGCGACGGCGTCCGAGAAACAGCCAGCAGCTGCCCAGGAAACTCCGACGAGGCCTCGAGACGCCCACCGAGACGCCCACGAGGCCTCTACTCCGCCTGGGGGTCGGCGGAACGGCGTGCGCCTCTCGAATCTCTTCTCGTCTGGATGCTGTGTCCAGGCCAAGCTTGTCCAAAGATGGGCAGGCTGCTCGCCCAGGCGTCGCTTGCCTGCTCAAGCACTCTGCCGAACAGGAACTCGTAGCGATGCAGCTCTCTGGCAGGCGTGACCCCACGCAGTGGCACGTGAGACCGAGGACAGCCGCTGAGCATCGGCTACACGCAAGAGCGACCCTGGGTAAGATGGACCTCTGGTGCGCGGCTTCTTGGGGGCCGCGGGGAGGCCAAGAACGAGCGCGCAAGACGCCACTGCCGCCTCGAGTCCGGCGATCGGTAGGGGAACAAAAAGTGGCACAAACATAAAAACTCGGAGGTCCGCGCGGATTTCTCGGATCGGCGCTGGGGCCCCCTGGCGGCGCCTCTGGCGTCGCCTCTGGCGCGCGGAGCGCGCCAGCCAGGGAGGGGGCCTCCAGCGCCGGTCCGAGAACTCCGCGCGGACCTCCGAGTTCTTAGGTTTGCGTGGCTGTCTGTCCTCCTGAAACGAGACCCCAGTGAGCCCGCACTCGAGGCCTCTCCGGCGAGAGGGCCCCTCTTGCGTGCAGCCGACAGCCCGCGCGCCCCCGCGCGGTCGTGCACGGGCCGCCCCGCGAAGAGCCGCCTCAGACGCCCCGCCAGAAGGGCCCCCGCCAAAATCTTCCCCTATCACAGGCGGGGGGCTGCAGGGGCCGCGCGCGCAGCTCGACGCCTGGCTGCGCACGCAGCGCCCGCGGCACGACGCGGAACGGAAGGAATCGTCACCAAGAGCCCGCGCGCTCTTTGAGAGAGCGCGCCGGGCCGCAGCGCCCCCCCTGGCGCCTCCGCGTGCGCAGCGTCGGCAGAGTCCTCCCGTCATCGGCGCCGCCGCGGCACCGCTCGGACGCCCAAGCTCCCCGCGCACGCTCTTTTCGGCTTCCCGCGCGGACTCCTTCGCAGGAGGACCCACAAGTTGCCAGCCTCGAACGTATCCCTATCCCTAAGATTGGCGCGCCAAAAGGCGGTGACAGTCTCAGGGATTCGCCCTCAAAAAGTAAGGGAATCCCCAAGATTGGCATCGTGATGAGGAGGTGCCCAGCATAGGGATAGGGATATGTTCCAGGCTGGTAAGACCCACAAGGCTCTTCGACGGCGCTCGCCGAGAGAAGAGCTGCCCACCGCGCCCGAGCCACGCCGCGACGTGCTCCCGGCCGGCGCTGCTCCGCTACTCCGCGTCCGCGGCGGTGACCGCGCTGCCCGGCGCCGCGCTGCCGGCCACCTCCTCGCAGTGCCTCGCGGTGTCCTTCGTGCTCGGCGCCTCGCCCCTGGTCGGACAGCCGGTGCTGTTGCTCGTGCGCCGCAGAGTCCGTGTTGCCCAGTGCCTACTAGTGCCAGATGTGGGCCAGGGGGGGACAAACGTTTTTTTCCCATGCGCTGGCTTTGCGATGCTCCTGTGA